CACCACAGACCAGTCATATAAATTGCATATACACCATACTATCAATACACCATATACTCATACACCAGCTACACTGTGATACACCACATATATATTATCCACAAATGCCACACATTGATATACCACATGCCATATATATATATATATATATATATATATATATATATATCACACATTACACTGTCCATACTACATACAAATCCACATATCACACTACTCACACCCACTTGCCATGCACACACATTGCACACACCACACAACCCATATAACACATGGACACACCAAACATACTATACAATCTACAATACTTGTGCCACATACATTCCTCCCATCAGTGAGCCTCTTCCCTCTTCCTTCCCAGCATGCCCCTGCATGTGAATCCACCAGAACTTTTGGTCTCTTCTTTAGAATAAACTCCAAATTCCTTGGCTGGCCACACCATTCACATACAACACTTCTGTTTTAAACTTCTACATCTTAGAGCTCAGCTACTCCACACTCCTGTTCCCTGCCTTACCAGAACAGGTGTTCAAATGCTATCCTCTGCACTTTGCAAGGGCTGCTTTGCCTCCTAATTGTAGTCTTCTTCACACAAAACCATTCCATAGTCACCAATCAAAATTCAACTCAACACTTATTTGGCTCAATGAAGTCTTCTCTACCTTTGCTGGAACAACTTGCTGCTATGTTCACACTGCCCCTCAGTATGCCTCTTTCCATGTTTTATGACCACACCTATGTTTCGGCACCTTCAGTGAGTTATTCACTCAACACTGAGAATCTCTATCATGTACCAGTCACTGGAATACAGTGGGTTATCTCTGTATTCTCGATGGGACCAGAGAAGTAACAGGCAATCAGAAAGTGTTTGTTGAATGAATAAATGAATAAAAAAAAAACCTACAAATATTTTATCACATCATCAAGAAAACCTCCTCTGCTGTTCTCTTTTTACTCCATTTATGATCTAAAAAGTCAATTGAGGATAGATAATAGCACACCGGTCATAAGGGGCCCCAAAGCCATAAACCCCACAGAATTGGAAGTACCTTCACTGACTAATGATAGCAGATGCACCCCACTAACACCCTCCAAGCATTCCCACTTCAGACAGTCCAGTATTTAACTCTTTTAGGCATTACCTTACTATAAACACCTAATTCCTTTCAAAATACGCATTGTTTGTGAGTTAAAAGTCTCCATGGACTAGCTTATAGAACTTGATTTATCATACACTTTTCACTGACAAAATGTAATTCAAGTACAAATGACAGAAAGTTGTGAGCAATGTCACACAATCAATTATTCTTTGCAAAGTTTTGAGTGAAGTTGTAGACTTTCTCTTTTGCCGTTATGTTAGTTAGCATCGAAGCACCTGCTAGTCCCGGAAACTGTTGCTATAAACGGAGGCCAGCAAAGTCACAATGTGAACCTGGACTGGCTCACACTGAGCTGTTATTTAAGGTCATGAGGGTTCTGGAAACGCGCTGTTACTTAAAGGGAACGTGACTGCCATCCTTGACTAAGTCTGGAGTGCAGAGGCAAAACAGTTGCACAAATACAGAGGAACTGCGTTGTTACTCAGCTTCTGTGACTGTAACAAATGCCTGCTGTGATCAACTTATGAAGAGAAAGGGTTTTGGCTCCTAGTGTTGGAAGCTTCAGTCCACAAGTAGTTGGTCTTGTTGCCTTGAGCCCATGGTATTACATCGTGGCAAAGCAAAATCATTCACTTCAGGTGGGACAGCCAAAGAGAACATGAAGGGGCAAAACCACTAGTCTCTCCCAAGGGACACCCTTCATGATCTGGAGGTTCCCACAAGACCCCTCTTAGAGGCTCCACCACCTTACAGTAGCTTTGGCTATCATGGAACTCACTCTGTAGACCCTGGAACTTACAGAGATCCATCTGCCTCTGCTTCCCAAGTGCTAGGATTAAAGGTATGTGCCGCCACTGTCCAACCATTAAGGTTAAGGACATGAAAAATTAGTGTCAAAGCACATCCCACTGGTTTCCAATGAACCATGTTACAATGTGCACCCTATTTAAAATTAGTTCATAATAGTGATTTTTTTTTCCTTATGAAATAAAATAAAGCCCCAGACACAAATTTGATCCTCATCTACCTGGTTTTAAAATCTCAAAACACAAAAAGAAATGTGTGCATATTTTAATTATTGGTTACAAAATAAATGACACAGGATGACTAGGGTATGAGAAATCCCATCCACTCAATGAATGAGTCATTCTGCGCTCTGAATTTCTGAAGCATACCAGGAGGTTAATTACCTTGGATGTAAATATTCCCCATGTATGCTGGGCATTTTCTTGTCTTCTTAAAGAACGTTTTTAAAGGTAATTTTGGTACTTTGCTGCTATCACCAGGAGACAGCAATCATTCATTTACAATATTATATTGAGATGACCATAGCGTCAGTTAGGAGTGCCTATCTTAGCAGTCCCAACACTTCAGGACTTTTGACCCAATTCTCAAGCCTAGAGTTAGTTTTTCTATCTTTCCTAGATGTTGTGTTATTTGGAGTTGCTCTTCCCTGCTGATTACAGAAGCTTCTCACCCCTCTTCTAAATATGGAACTGTGGACTATTGTTTAAGATGCTTTAAGGGTTGTATGCACCTGAGGACATAACTCAGTTTGATAGGGTGCTTGCTTCACACACACAAGGCCCTGAGTTCAATCCCCCAGCACCACATAAACCAATGTGTGGGGAGACTAGATGTTCAAAGAGCCTACACAGCAAGTTTGAGGCCAAGCTGGGCTGCATAAGGTTCTGCATAAGAATTAAAAAAGATTGTATCTAGAAAAGTAGTGTGTTCCAAGAAAGTCAAGTTTTCTGTGTATTTTACCATCTTCTCTGCTTGCTAAGCAGGTTCTTTTTTCCCTTTCCTGGCCCTTAGCTAAATTCCAGAAAAGCAGAGAAGTGCAACAGGTTTGCTAGGACACATCTGGATGCACTCTTTATGTTCTCCACCCCTGGACTATAAACCATTAGCTCCCACAACAACTCGGCCACACAGAACAAGTGCAAAAGGCCTCCAAGTGGGAAAAATATTTAGATTGAAGGATTAATCCATACACTGGAAAATGGTTTCTATCATATGTAATGGTTTCATATTTTGTACTTCTACATCATTTAGCCACACAAATTGGTTGGTATTATACATAAATAAGTATTTTTTAAGTTTAAAAGAAAAAATGCCAATTGTACCCTTAAAACAGACAAAATTTCAATATTCTTGTTTGTTAAATTATAACAAATTACTTTTAGCACCATACATTTAATTGCTTTACTTACTGGCGTGATAGCTACTATATTGGAAAAGATCCTCACCATTACTCAAAGGGAAAAAATGTTGCACCAACATTTGAATAACGTAAAGACAAATTATTGTTAGTTTAACCAGTCCCTGGGCTTCCTGAAGTCAAGTGTTGGACGTAAATGACTATATTTAGATTTACTGCATTTTACAAAAGGAAAAGTTTACATAACCCTGTTGGTAAAATCCAAGGAAGCAAGCTCAAGCAGGTGAATGCTCTGCGTTGACAGTAAGGACCAAAGGGAGGTAGGCAGTTCGTCAGTTACCCTAGTCATGCGTCTACACTCAGAGGAATGAAGTTGGCCTTCAGCTATTTATAAATGTAGCCCCACCGCTGTGCCCTTCTGAGGTGCTGGTCTGGGCTGCCAGGCTGAGGCTGAGGCTGAGTGGAGTCCTCCCTCAAAGTGACCCTTCATACTTGGCAGTTGAGGATCCTTTGGATGCAGTCAGGAAAAGGCCTGCAGGGTTAGCAGCCCCACTTCCTCCCTGTGATTCTATATAAGGAAACATCCCATTCTAGTGTTTTCAGCATCGTAAGCGCTGTATCAGGCTGGAGGAATGAGGAAGCCACAGGCCCTCCTCTGCCTGTCCTAAAGGCTCACTCACTTCAGCAACCTCCAATCCCTGTTGCCCTGGACTGGACCTTGTCAACAAATGGCATCCCAGCCCCAAGAGCCTTGCAGACTCACAGCTAACATGGAACAGCTGGAAGAGGACCCTGTGTTCTTTACTCTGCATAAACACTGGGGGCTCTGTTCACCCTCCTGCAGCAGAAAGAACCAAAGAATTTCCCTGCCCCCCCATCACAATCGCCACGCTCTCCCACACCTCCCTCCCCCATCTCCAGCCTCCCCTTACTCCAGATATAATTTGAATCTGTCACCACCCATAATGGCAGATGGCAAACCGCTGGACGTTCCGACTATATTTACTTTCTGTAGTAGTTGCTGTGTCTGTAAATACTAAAAGGTTACTAAGAAACAATTCCGTTCAGTTCCTTAAAGTTTCCTCACAAAAGCCACACACTGTGGAGCCCAAGCCATGCCTGCTCTCCCCCCACAAGATCCGTTATCAATGCGGATAACGTCATGACCAGTAAGTGAAGCCACATCACAACCATGCTGCAAATGTCATTTTGACAGCCTATAGCGTCACCTACATATTATTCGGAAGACAAACCTCTAAAACAGTGTTATCCGTGGGGGTTAAAGGAGAAAGAATAATAAAATTGCATTTTCAGGTATTCTTACAGCCTGTCTGAGCTCGGCGACTGGGGGGGGGGGGTGTGCAGTCCCGATCTTCCTGCTGTATTGCTGAAAGCCAGCGAGCCACGTTACCCGAAAGGAGCGGGAGGGGGGTGGCAGAAAATCCAGACTCTACGTGACCTGACTTACTTATTTCCAAGGAAAGCGCAGGAGAGAAAAATCAATCATTCATGCTACCGTAGCTACCACACGGAATGGACTAAGGAGTCCACAATGGGCAAAGCCCCAAAGCGGACAGAGGAGGTGAAAAGGGACCGGGTCCGAGGCAGATGCCTAGAGCCCCGGGGGCCAGTGGGGATGAGGTCCCCGCGGAGTGGAGGCCGGGGGGCGGGGCCCGGACCGGAGGCGGGGAGTCTGGATTCCCGGGGAGCTGCGGGAGCTGCGGCCGCGCACTTACCCGGGCTGTTGGCCTCTCCTTCCAGGACGTGCAGCTCGGCGCAGTCGGCCAGAGAGTGCTCCAGGCAGAGCTGGAGGAAGCGGGCCTGGGTCTGGCTCACGCGCTTGAGCAACGACAGCAGCGCAACAGTCTGCTCGCACTCGTTCCAGCCCTTAAACCAGCCCGCCAGCACCCCAACCTGGTCGCGAAACATCATGGTTAGGGGGCCGCCCTCCGTCTACGAAGCCCCTAGGCGCTCCTGCCCGCCCCAAAGTTTGGCGGAGCCGCAGCCCCCGGCCTCCTGAGACGCGTTCTGGTTCCAAGGTCTCCGGTGCCCGGGCGCTGCAGGTACTGACTCGGCTCGTGCCTCTCTCTCTTTCCCCCTCTCTCTCGGTTCAGTTATGTTCTGGTGGTTCTGGTTGATTCCCCAGAGACGGTGACAGACAGTAGCACGGAGATGTTTCTTTTGTAAAAAATAGCGATTAAAAATATAAATCCCTCACAAGGCACAAAACTGGATGAAGAATGCTCTTTCCCCTTTTCTCGTAGCTTCAGGATGGTGATTTCCGGCGTCCCGGGGTCTCCTCCCCGCTGGGCGGTAGCTCGGACCCTTCACACCCGCATTCCCAAGCGGCAATCACTAATGAAAGGACAGAAAGAGCTGCAGTGAGACCTCGGGCCCCGGAGGAGAGCGTCTACGGGGATCCGGGCATCATGGGGACCCCGGTAGCGGTGGGGGGCGTGTAGAAGCCAAGGTTGGGGTGTCCCGCAGGGGCAAGTCCTCCAAATTCCTGCCGGCCCCTCCACACTCGGATGCGCAAGCTGAGGTATTGCACAGCTTCCTTCCCAGGTGCGGGAGGAGACCCCGCGGCTTCCTGTTGCTGCGGCTGTGACCCGCTAGTGCTCCCAGCACGCCCCACCCGGGGTGGCCTCCCGGGCTGTGTCTGTGAACGCCAGCACCAGCAACAGATCCTCCCCGCGCTGAAAACTTGCAATGCGGCTGGCTGCGAAGGGGCGCGGGGGTGGGGTGGGGGCTAATGCAAAGCAGAGGCGGTGACAGAGGCGGCCAGGGTTCCAGCCTCCTCCTCTCCTCCTCCTTCTCTTCCTCCTCCTCGTCTTCCTCCTCCCTCTCTCCTCCTCCCTCCTCCGATTCCTCCTCTCCCTCCCTCCTCCTCCTCCCGGAGAAGCAGCCGTACGGCTGCAGCTCCATCTACAGCAACAGCCAGCATCTCCACAGCCAGGCTCCCCTCTGGATTTAGGCCGTGAGCAGCCGCTGCGACAGCTCGAGACAAAAATAAACTCTCCCTACCCAAAGCTCGGCAAGGCTCTGTGGGAGCCCTCATTCCCCAGCACCGCTCTAGCCCACCGAGGAGGTCCCCCCACCCCACCCCACCCCGTCTGCTTGGCCCGCATCAATCAGATGAGTGTGTGTGTGAGTGTGTGTGTGTGTGTGCGTGCGTGCGTGCTCGCGCGTGTGTGATTTAGGCATCCTGCCCCCCCCCTCAGCCCGTCCCCGCCACAGCCTGCGGGTCGTGTCCTCGCCCGTGGGTCCCAGGCCCAAGGCGATGCAATTGTGGGAGCAAGCCTTGCTCGGAGAGTCGGTAGTACGACTTTCCCAAGAGGTAGGACGGTCCCCGAGGGGAATACAGATTCCTCCCTCGAGCATACACCCCCCCCCATGACCTCAAAGAAGAAAGTTAGGTTTGGGGGCTCTAGTGTCCCATTCCAGTTCTCTGGTGGCGCAGAAAGGAGGAAAGACTAACTGCCCGGGCTCTAGGAACGGCTCGCTTCCAACATCTGCCGGCTCCAAGTTCTGGGTGGGAGCACGAAGCCCCCGGGTAAGGGTCAGAGGGACCGCTGAGTGCCGAGGGCAGCAGAAGGGACGCTCACCTCCACGCGGCTCATCCCTGCGGCTTGGGGCCCTGCGCGCGGGTCCGGAGCTGTGGCAGCAATCAGCGGGGTTGGGGGCGCTCGGAGCGCTGGCTGCGGGCCATGCCGTCGGGGCTGGCAGCACGCGGAAGAGTGCGGCGCTGCGGGTTCGGGGCGCTATCGCCGCCGCTGCTGCCTCCAGTGTCGGCTCGCGAAGGACTGAGCCGCCCGGAGCTCCCCACATGCTACTGATTAACATACACCATTACATCATGGGCTTGGCAGGGAGCGCCCGAGAGAGGGGGAGAGGAACCCGGGCGGCGGCGGCACGCGGGGGAGTCGGGGGAGGATCCCCGGGCCCGGCGGGCGGCGGGCTGGGGGGAGGGACGGATTCCTAAGCCGGGACCAAAGAGGGGAGGGAGCCAAGTAGGAGGAGCGGAAGAGCACAGATTGGAGGATCTGAGAAGCAAAGCACAGAAGTTTGGAGAAGGGGAGGGGTCCGGGCGAATTCCTCCCCTCTGCCACCCGCGTGTTCCACAGCGGCCAGGGCACGGGAGCCGCCAGAGCTGGGGCAGGAAGGGACCCGGACGGAGCTGGAGCTGGGACGGTGCTGCCACCCGCTGCTCGCCCTTGGGAATGTTGCTCGCAAGATCCAGTGACCCTTTAGCCCTGCTGGGACCCGAGGGTGGCTGGCTGACCAGTGTGGACCATGGACACCCGGAGTCATTGTCACTGGGGGCTTGGAAGGGTTCCTGGGGTCTGGGGCACGTAAAGTGGCAGAGAGCGACGAAGAACACGGTGCGGGGCTGGACGTGCCTGGCCGCGGGGCTCCATGCGACCCTTGTCCAGGAGAAGCGAACTGTGCCTATGGACCACCCTCGGCCAAAACGGGCGCTGGATGCCCGGCTTCGCTCTCGGGGAGAAGGTGGACTTCAGGAACCTCATCTCAAGCTATGCCTGGCGCGCGGCTGTGTAGCTACTAGCCTGGAGCTGTGGCCCTAAAAGCCCTGGGCGACAGAGAGGCGGGGCAAGCCCACCTGTCAGCGCCGCCGGATATTTTTTGTGGGGGAGGGTGTGGGAGGGTGCGGTGTACAGCCTTTACCTGCGCCTGCAGCGGGCGGGGCCAGAGACTGGGCCGTCGATTATCGTTGGAAGTTCTAGGATGCTGCAGAGTTACCTGCCACAAAATGCCTGCGGCAGTCAAAGGGTTAAAACACCCTTTTAAAAAAAAAAAAAAAAAAACAAAAAACACCTAAACACCTCCGTACTTCCTAATTTGAGTGTTCACAAAGCGGGCTCGGCCAAAACCCAGCGGGTTCCCGCGACTTGGGGTGCATTTATACAGGAGAGCTGGGCAGGCCCATGTTCTACCTGCCTTGCTCTGGCTAGCACAGTTTTTGAAGTTGTCTTCAAAAGTTGAGAGCTTACTCTTCCAACTTTCAGCTCCCGTACTAGCATCACGATTCCAATCTTTTATTATTCCCCTCCTCAGATTTCGTTTCTGTCGTGTGTAGGTCCTGTCAGAGTGACAACACCTACCATCTGTTAGGGTATTAAAAGGGCTCGTGGGGCGGCATAATGTTTTGCCAGTGTTTCCATCACAACTGAGTGAATTTTTAAAAGTTCATTATTAACGACTCAGGGGAGATATCCGCATAATTTGATGAGTAGTTTGCTCTTTTTAGGAAACATTAATCCTGGAGTCAGTGTTTGACTTCTGATGTGTTTTATTATCGTAGAAGCAGAAAAACCTAAGTTTTTTTTTTTTTTTTTTTTTTTTTTTTTTAAATCTGGCATGCCAGCTACTCCTTGGTAGTACTTCTGTTAGGAAATGGGACCACGCGGTGCTAACTCAGCCAAAGCCAAAATGGTCCTCATCTTGGTTTTTAGACGTCCTAGCAATGACTTAAAAGAAAAGAAAACCAAAGATACACCAATAACGTAATTATTGTCAGCTGCTACTTAAAACATGAATAGTAAGGAGGGGCGGGGGATGGGGGAGCTGGGGTGGCTGGAGTGGCAAACACTCGAAGAAAGAAAATGGTGCCATCTACCGGAGAAGCGTGGTTCTTACAACAGCCTTTGACCTAGGAACTCTTGTCTTCACTAGTCTTTAGTGTCTTGCTATTCAACATTATTTCGCATGTTTCCTCAGGGTCAACAAGTCAAGTGTTCAGGTGTTTGAAAGATTATTGATTCCAGAAAAGTCAGGTCCATATTTACAAGTGCTGAAAAGGTTTCATTATAGGTATCCTTGTGGAGCCCCTGTTTATGTAATTTCAATTCAAACTTCTTCTAGAAGTAAAATAAATTGGTTGGGTAAGGGCTCAGTGGGCTAAGTGCCTGTTGCAAGCTTGAAGACCAGAGTTCGAATCCCCAATGACCACTGAAAAGCCCAAGAGACAGTTGGAGACAAGGGATCTTGAGGGTCTGTTAGGAAGTCAGTCTGGCAAAGACAGTGCACTCTACATTCAGGACTACTTACTAGCTTAGTGGTTTCATACGACTCACTTCCTAACCAGAGCCTTGGTTTTTTTGGTAATAACCAATCTCATTGTCATTATGAGTAATAAATACTTCAGTATATCTACATTTCTTAAAATGGTGTCTAGAAAATGCTATCATTAATTATCGCTGTTTGAAAAAGGGTGAATGGATTGAGAGGAAGAAGCAAATGTGTGTCTCTGTCTATCAGAAATATGTGTACAATATTATATGCGACTGGAATGGAGAATTGTGATACAGTGTGCTGTATTTTGAAAGACCCTGTCTTTCAAAATAAGGTGAGGAGCAATAGTCGACACAAAACGGAGAGCAAGGGGGGGGGTCAACATTTTATTTCATGAATTGGGAAACATCTAAAAATCTCTGCATAACGGTATACAGTTATCATATTCTTCACTCACCCATACAATAAGTCTGTATGGACATTTATTCTCAGCAACAAATGCCATGGTCACAGTGTCTGTTCACAGAGATAGAAACCCAACTAGGACAACATCCAAAACATTAAGTATAGAAATGGGTGTTAATATCATTTAATTCTTCCAACTTTTCTGTGTTTAGAGATGTTTATAGTAAGGGATTAAAAGGGAGATGTGTCAATAGTATACAAATGACCTAGAAAAATCATGTTCCAAAATCTATTTTGTAATTCTAGTTTTGTGATTAAGAAAGCCATCTCAAGGGGCTGGAAAGATGGTTCAGCAGTTAAGAACATGGGCTGCTCTTCCAGAGGACCGGGATTCAACTCCAGCACCCACATGGCAGCTCACAACTGTCTGTAACTCCAGGATCCAACACCTTCACACAGACATACATTCAGGCAAAACACCTATGCACATAAAATAAAAATGAATTAATTTTAAAAAGTCATCTCGAATGCATAAAGGATTGAGCTTTCTTTTATTTGTGGGTGGGGAGGGAGAGGGTTGAGACAAGTTTTCTCTGTATAGTCCTGGCTCTCCTGGAACTTGCTCTGAAAAGCAGGCTGGCCTGAAACTCACAGAAATCCTTCTGCCTCTGCCTCTCAAGTGCTGGGATTAAAAGCAAGCACTGCTACTGCTTGATGTGGTTGCAGATTTTTAAAGAAAATGTTCTGCCTTTTGTGTCAGGAAAATTCAAAACCACTTTGAGATTCTGTCTAACCTCAAGCTGTGATAAAACTAACAGATCTACCTGGAGAGGCTAGGGAGTAAGAGGAACTTTTATTCACTATCTTTAGGGTATCAACTATTAACTACTATGGAAATTAGACCGAAGTCTTTCAAAGTGGAAAAATGAATCCTACTACATCACTATAGAGTACAAAGTCTATGAATCCTACCATAGAGATGCCCACACACCCATGCTTGCTGCTGTCCTGTTCATAATAGCAGGGGATGGAGCCAGCCTAGCTGTCCCTCAATTGATGACTGGATAAGCAAAACATGACATATATGCACAGAGGAATTTTATTTAGTTGTTAAGAAAAATGAAGCTATGAAATTTACAGAACTAATTGCTGGAGCTAGAAAGGATCATATTAAGTAAGGTGAACTAATCTCAGAAAGACACAGTGGAAAAGAATTAGGGATAGAGAGGGGCCCGAGGGAGACAGGAGGGGGAAGAAGAAATAGAAAAGAAAGTACCAAAACAAATTCTTGAAAATTGTTGTTTGTATGGGTTTCTATTGCTGTGAAGAGAAACCATGACCACAGCAACTCTTGCAAAGGAGAACATTTCATTGGGGTGGCTCAATTTCAATTTCTGAGGTTCAGAACATTATCTTCATGCCAGGGAGCATGGCAGCATACAGGTAGACATGGTGCTGGCTGCATCTTCATCAGAAGGCTATAGGAAGTGGTCTTAGTGACACACTGAGCAAAGCTTGAGCAAAAAAGGCCTCAAAGCCCACCCCCATATTGACGCACTTCCTCCATCAAGGCCATACCTATTCCCAGGCCACACCTCCTAACAATGCCACTTCCTTTGGGGGCCATATTCTTTCAAACCACCACAAATACTAAAATGAGATTTAATTTTCTGTAAGCCAATACAATTTTAAGATAAGAGAACATCAGCTCTAGGCTGGGAGCGCTGTCTTGGACTACTTACTAGCTTAGTGGTTTCATACGACTCACTTCCTAACCAGAGCCTTGGTTTTTTTGGTAATAACCAATCTCATTGTCATTACGAGTAATAAATACTTCAGTATATCTACATTTCTTAAAATGGTGTCTAGAAAATGCTATCATTAATTATCGCTGTTTGAAAAAGGGTGAATGGATTGAGAGGAAGAAGCAAATGTGTGTCTCTGTCTATCAGAAATATGTGTACAATATTATATGCGACTGGAATGGAGAGTTGTGATACAGTGTGCTGTATTTCTCTGTGTTTGTTTTAACATTGAATGCAACCGTAACGCGAAAACAATCAGACAACTGACTTGCAGGAATAGTAAATTAAAAGGGACAAAAGGCTCATAGCAACCATAGACAGTGTGTGCTTTTCTGTTGCATTCAGATTTGCAAAAATAGCTACAAAAGACATTTTGGGGGCAAGTGGGAAATTCTGAGCATGGGCTTGAGAACTAGCTCAGTTAAGACACTGCTCTTGGTTTCATTGACTGTGGCCGTGTCACTGTGGCTATAGAGAATGTCTCTTCTTCTGTTAAGGAATTTCATGCTTAGGTGAAGGTGAGGGAGCATGTGATTGAGGGAGACAGAAGTGATTGAGAAAAGATAACCACAGCACCCTCAGGTCATCACACAGAGGCACACCCATGGGCACAAATGCACACACCCATGTGCTAATGAGTACCCACACTATACTTAAAAAGTAGTGTTAA